GAGAGAGAGAGAGAGAGAGAGAGAGAGAGAGAGAGAGAGAGAGAGAGAGAGAGAGAGAGAGAGAGAGAGAGAGAGAGTTGGAAGGGGGGAAAAGAAGAGAGAGCCAGACAGAGACAGAGAGAAACAAAACAAACAAACAAAAAAATATAGATAGATAGATAGATATAGATAGATAGATAAAGAGACTGAAATAAGTACAGAAACACACACACACAAAGACAGAGAGAGAGATGAAACTCAGACATAACTTCAAAAGCAATTTCTCCTAGTGCACAATAACATCTTGACAAGGAAAAGTGATACATGGAATAAAACTGTTCATAGAATCTTTCCTTCCAAGACGAGAAACATGGGATGCTCCCTCTCTCAACGTTTGTACAGTAAATGAAACATGGAATGAACTAATGACGATATCAGAAGAAAATACTGATCAAATACTCGATAGCTTGACTTTATCCCCCCCCCTCCTCCCCCCTTCCATTCGCTTTCTCTATATACAGTACACACATATACGAAGTTTACAAGTTTAACGAACTGTATGACTCAAAGTCTAAAAAGGGAGATACTTCTATGCCTCAGCTTGGAGAAAAGACAGAAAAAAACATACATGAAGATAAAATATCGTATTGAAATACGCTACATACTAGGTTCAGGTATACGAATTTCCATGTTTTTTCCCCCTAAATGGACCAGATACATTATGGATAGATGGCCATCCATTCCTCAGGTACTGTTACGAATCTGAGTGAATATTTTAGCCGTTTTAGATTCCTTTTACTGAAGATGTGTGGTTGTGTGCGTACAGTTTGTGCTGATAAAAAGGAAAATTGACGGGTAATCTAATCTCATTGTTTTTATTTTTATTTATTAATTATTATTATCATTATTACTATTATTATCTTATTATCATTATTATTATCATCATCATTATTATTATTATTATCATTATTATTATTATTACCATTATTATTATTATTATTATTATTATTATTATTATCAATATTATTGTTATTATCATTGTTATTATTATTATTATCATTGTTACTATTATTACTATTATTATTTTGTATATGCCATTTACTGCGATCTGTTTTCCAAGAACAAACCTTTTGTCACAGGAAATAATTTTATTTTTTTATATTAATATTTGCTGTTGTTTGTTTTTCCGTCACCGACATGGTCTAATGCTTATGTTCCGTTATTATAACAAAAAAATGATAGTTACGGCAAAGGCAAAAACGAAGATATAACGATAATAATATAGGGGATAAGAGGCAAGGCAGTGATATGAATTAAATATATAAAATGAATCTGGAATACTGCATCGTACAATGGGACAGTGAACACGAGTTTGAAATATAAGGGTTGCCGATTTTTCCTTAGTTTTGCGTATCATTTTTACAATAAAGGTTTATGCAGTAACACAATTTTTTTTTAGCTCTCAAATTTCTTCTAAATTGAGGAAGGGGCTGAGATCCCCTTCTCTTTGTGTGTGCTCCAATGTACAGTAAAGCCATTCCGTAGGGATTTAAGCGAGATATTTAGAAAGGGGGAAAAAACAAACATGTAAACCAGTTGTAAAATGTATGTCAATAGCTGTCCGGGAAAAATGCACTATATTTTTACACGATACAGGATTGCGACAGAATACTATATGGGGCAGAAGGGTAGCAAAAAAAACGTTTACTGAAAATAGTATATTTTATGAACGATAACGGTGCGTTTTTCTTGTTAGACTTTAATATTTAAAGGCATACCTTTAGGCCTACTGGTAAAACTCGATGCATCGAAATATCCGATACATTTCTAATACATGCAACTGATGTATATGCGTATTTTATGTGCGTGTTTTTGTGTACACTTGTTTTTATGCGAGTGTGTATGTAGATCCGTTTGTGTCTGTGTGTGCGTGTAAGTTTGTTTGAATACGTACTTGTTTTTTATATAAGTTTCTAATTGATATGTATGTGTTTGTGTACATATGCTTTCGCGTATTCAGTATCTAAGATACTAATATAAATTTTTAAAAAGTGTTTATGTGTGCTTATATATATTATTAATTCATATAACTAAACTAACATACACATCTTCCAACCCCCTCCCCCCCCTCCGCCCTCCGGCCCCTGCCCACCAGATCTCAAGAACGCAGGTCACGTGGTGAAAAACCCAAGCGCCAGCCACGCAACCTGACCCAAGATGGACAACACGAAGACCATAATGTTAACGAAGCACCCGGGATCGAGCATGAGGTAACACATCCCCGCCAGAACGTAAGAGACAGACGTGAAGAGACCGAGAGCATTGAAAGGCGGGCAGACAGTAGCCATTAGGAAGCTCTCGAAGGAATATTTATGCGTCTTGGTGAGAACAGCTGCCCACGTCTCCTCCTTCGTCTCGGCCATCTTGGTGACGAGACCGATGAGCGTGGCGGAGAGAACGGGCACGAACCACAGCGCCTGGTGGATGGTGCCGACGCCGCCGCTGACCAGCACGCGGGACC